CTTATGATCGGTACCTGGCCATCTGTCGCCCACTACATTACCCCTCCATCATGACTGGAAAGTTCTGTGTGATCATGGTCTGTGTTTGCTCGGTGAGTGGATTTCTCTACTATCCAATCCCCATTATTCGTATCTCCCAACTTCCCTTCTGTGGATCCAACATCATTGACCACTTTGTGTGTGACCCAGGCCCATTGTTTGCACTAGCCTGCATCCCTGCTCCTTCCACTGAGCTTATCTGTTACACTTTCAACTCGGTGATTATCTTTGGGCCCTTCCTTTCCATCTTGGGATCTTACACTCTGGTACTCAGAGCTGTGCTTTGTGTTCTTTCTGGTACTGGTCAAACTAAAGCTTTCTCCACATGCAGGTCCCACCTCATGGTGGTGTCTCTATTCTATGGAACCCTTATGGTGATGCATGTGAGTCCAACATCAGGGAATCCAGCACGAATGCAGAAGACTGTCACGTTGGTATACTCAGCGGTGACTCCCCTGTTAAATCCTGTTGTCTATAGTCTCCAAAACAAAGACATGAAAGATGCCCTAAAGAAAGTCCTGGGATTAAGAATTAATCAAAACTGAGACATCTTTGAAAGAGAAGAAGAATTTGTCACTTCTGACTTTAGTTATTTATAACAACAATAGAGAATGGCTTCAGTAAGTCATGTTGTGGCTCACACTTAAGTGAGGGAAAGACATTTTTCACAGTTTCTTAGCAAAGTTCAGTTCATCGATGATAAATGCTCAATAAAACATTTTAAACATGCATGACCTCACTGAATAATTATATGGTGTTATTATACATATGTTCTTTTTCCGTGATGTATCTTTGCTGGTTTAATCTTAACTGGTGGAAGGAATCAAACACATACTACCTGGAGCCTTTCAAGGGAGGGCGCAATCTTCTAAATTCAGAAAATAAATATTCTGAAAGACAATGGAACAAGAGGCCACCAAAAAACACACCTAGTAGTGAATATTTTCCATTGTTTGAGACTTTCACACCAAAAACGGAGTATGTTTCATACTTCTATCACTTAAAGTACAAACTCTTCTTCCTGCCATTCAAAGCCCTCACTCAGTAGACTGCTCCATTCAGCCTTCTTTCCTACTGATCCGCTGTCTAAGCCCTGCACTTCACAACGACCAATCTTCTTATTTTACCTTAAATACACTTTCTCCTAATTGAGCTTCTTTACTTGTAGTACTTCCTCCCCAAATCAATTGTGACAGCCCCCATACCACTTGTAATATGGAATAACAATGCCATAAACATATTTTATGCCTCTCAGAAGGCAACAGGGCAAAGTCTGAGTCAGAAAAGTATTCAGAGAAAATTATACCAAGAACAAACTCCACTTTGTGCCCAAACCCCATGCTGAAACAGGAAAGCCATCAGCTGAGAGGATAATCTACTTAAAATGAGAGTACACCACTTTAGTTATGGCCATACTGGGAATGAAATTAGGTGTGCCAGGAGGACAAGCCTGCTGGTGCTAGGTGATGAAATAATCTAGCACAGTGTTTCTCAAACTTTTCTACCACCAAAGCATGTTTGGCAACAGTGGTTAGAAAACATGGGACATTTGGGAACAATATCTCTTTGAAATTCAAAGTTTGATTTTAAAAAATATCACAAATTATAATTTCTGGTCCATAGCATGTACATATTTGTTGTAATACAAAATTATCTTCTGTGAGTAAAACTGTCCCTTCAGGAAGACATTTAATAAGGGGCTTTGTGTATCCCATGGCACAAAAATCACATACTCTGTTTGAGAAACACAAGCTCGAGGAGACCAGGGGGTTCCCCCAGAGTCAATGGAGCACATTATGTTTAATAATCCCATTGGGCCAACTTATCAGAAATATTAATGAAACCCCCAGGCAAGAAGTCAGAAGATCCCTAGAGAAAGCATGGAAACTTATAGGATCACATGAAGAGATACCTGAGAATTTTCAACAGTGGCTAAAATGTCACATAAATTAAGACCAGCACGTAGTTTCAATACACTCTGTAAGAAATAGGCCATTAGAATCCTACGGTGCAGGGGGAGTGAAATAAGTCATGCAGGAAGCTCTCACACAGGGCTTCCACATTAAAGCCAGCGAGGGAGAGAATCTTTGTGACCTCCCCTTTACAACCAAGCTAGGTGTCCCCAGGATGACCTAGGAAAGCTTCATGGTATATAGGAGACATCTCTGATGGGCATTGCTGCTATTATACACCACAAGTGGGCCTATTCACCTATATATTTGTTCATTCAGTATGCTCAAGTGATTATCAAAGGATATTCATTTCTCTTTCAGCTCAAGAACCAAAAAAAAAAACTCTCAGAGTATTTAGATCACATGGAACTTGTGCTTTCCAAAATAAGTGCACTAAATGATACCAAAGTCATCCACAGGTCTTTTCCTTCTCAGAAAGTGTCTGTGGCACCAGGAATGGTATGACTTTTATAGATATTTTGAACAAAACAATACAGAACTAGCTCTATCCACCGGGCCTGAAACCAAAAGAAAATAGAGATTTTTTTAAGTCTCCTCTTTTAGCCCTCCCCACTCTCTCCATTCCATTATCCATCTGCACCTACAGAAAAGGTGGTATTAAAAAAAAAATTTAAGGGTAAAATCAAATTGGTCTCTATGAGGACTAAGATTCACATGGAGTTCAATAGTGAATATACTAGGAACTGCTTCTTACAGTTATGTTGGACATTATCTGTGAAATTCATTTACCATGCTTTCCCTACAGCTAATAGTTTTTCTGTGGGTTTTTTTCCTTTTAACGTCGAAAAGAGTAGTCTATAGCCTAAATACATGGAGCTAAATCTTGTGCATTTTGATTTTGAGTCAAAGTCTGTGAATCTGGCTTCTAGTCATTGTTGCTGCTGCTCCAGTGGTAAGTGGCTGCTCTCTGCATCACTGCTCTCTTGTCTTGTTGAGAAGAGAAGTCTCTTGCTTGGAAAGCACTGAGTTCCCATAGTGGGGAATGATTTTTTCATGATGTCTCACCGAAATGATCACCAATGCAGGTTAGTTTAGCTCTTCATAATCATCCTAGTTGGAAAAGTTAAAAAGAATTTATCCTCATCTTTCATTTTCCTTGTCTTCTTGTTTTTTTGTACACAAGAAAACTATACTCTTCTTTAACATAACCAGCCCAATAGGAAGGTTATGTTTGCTTCCTGGTGAGTAGTTTCATAGTTCACTTTATGCATTACTAATTTAGTAAGACTGAAAAGCAGTGGCATCATTAGAAATATATTTGTCTTATCTAATATGACCTAACTGAATATAAGGGGCTTTTTTTCTACTCGATTATGTTCAGTAAGTACTATAAATATTCTACATACACCATTTCTACCAAAATTATTTTTAAGGAAAATTCTCCTCTTGTCCATCAAAAAAAGTTAAAAGTATCTTGTTAAAAATTTCTGCAGGGCCGGCCCCGTGGCTTAGTGGTTAGGTGAGCACGCTCCACTGCTGGCGACCCGGGTTCGGATCCCGGGCTCGCACCGACGTGCTGCTTCTCCGGTCATGCTGAGGCCGCATCCCACATACAGCAACTAGAAGGATGTGCAGCTATGACACGCAACTGTCTACTGGGGCTTTGGGGGGAAAAAATAAATAAAAATAAAAAAAAATAAAAAAAAAATCTTAAAAAAAAAATTTCTGCAGATTCCAATATGTTAAAGTTATCATTGTGCTCTTTTCTCTGAGTCGTATTTGATTCTTAAAAAGACATCTTTGGTGATGGTGTTCTAAAGAGAATAAGGGGAAATTTTGGAATATGGGTAAATCATTATTTTTGAAACATCTTTGACTCCATTGCTTTCTGTTATTTTGAAAATTTGGGGCTATTCCTTAAATAGATTAAAGTAAAATCTTCCAAATAGTGAATTTTAAGGGAAACTTGTGGCAGCAGTAAGATGAGCTTTAGAAGAGAATCGCTTGGTGATTTTAATTTCCTTCTCCAATACATTTCGTATGTTATACTCATCTTTAATCACATATATTTTAAATGTATATGCAGCATGATAAATTGCCATGTGAAATTAGTCATCAGAGAATGAACAATAGTGACTTCTCATTGCTAAAAACAAAGGATTAAATACCAAATTGTAAATGAGCTATAGTGCAATATGATTTCCTTTAAATAGGAAATAGCAAGATATATAAAGAATTTATTATCTGAATATCTTTGTTGATTTTCTTCTGGTATCCTGAAAAAAAAATGATAGAAAATAAATTCTCCTAATGGAAATACCTTGAGAGAGAGAGAGAAAGGGAGAGAATCCGATATAATGTCAAAGCCAAACCATTCACATCTGTAAACAGTGTCAGATTCAAATCTATTTTAAGATGATAGCATGTGGGTTCTCACATTTTGGAGTGAATAGCGCCAATTGCTATATATGAACAGCTTTCACTGAAAAAATATTGGATATGACAAACCATTTTTGCCTATATTTCAAAGTTTATATCAAAAGAAAATTAAATTTAACTGATTTTGTCCACTGACAAAGAAAATTCAAGCAGTCTGGAACTGTACATTTACAAAAATCAGGATCAGGGACAGCCCAGTGGCATAGCAGTAAAGTTCACGCACCCTGCTTCGGCGGCCCGGGGTTCTCCAGTTTGGATCCTGGGCGCGAACCTATACACCACTCATCAAGCCATGCTGAGGCGGTATCCCACATAGAACAACTAGAAGGATGCACAACTATGACATATAACTATCTACGGGGCCTTTGGGGAGAAAGAAGGAAAAAAGGAGGAAGACGAGCAACTGATGTTAGCTCAGGGCCAATCTTCCTCAAAAAAAAGAAAATCAGGGCCAAAGGGCTCATTCAGAATAGGATAGGATTTATTCAAGTCTTATTTTAGAATATTCAATACATTTGCCCGCATGAATCAAACTCCCTGTTCTAAGAAAAGGTTCAAAAGCCTTAGGAGCAAAGTGACATTATCTATCTGTCTTCTCTCCACAGTCTGGAGACCATGAATAAGTCAGGGATTTCTACTGTGACACAGTTTGTCTTGTTGGGCTTTCCCGGTCCCTGGAAATTGCATATCATTCTTTTCTCAGTGATTTTGTTCATCTACGTCTTGACTCTGACTGGGAATATAGCCATCATTTGTGCAGTGAGGTGGAACCACCGACTCCATACCCCTATGTACATGTTCCTGGCCAACTTCTCCTTCCTAGAGATCTGGTATGTGACCTGCACAATCCCCAACATACTGGTCAATTTTCTTTCCAAAACCAAGACCATATCCTTCTCTGGTTGCTTCACTCAATTCTACTTCTTCTTTTCCATGGCCATGACAGATTGCTTCTTCCTCTGTGTCATGGCTTATGATCAGTACCTGGCCATCTGCTATCCACTGCACTATCCCTCCATCATGACTGGGCAGCTCTGTGCCATTCTGTGTCTCTTTGCTGGCTCACTGGATTCCTTGGACATTCAATTCTTATTTTCTTCATTTCTCAACTACCCTTTTGTCGTCCCAAAGTCATTGACCACTTTCTGTGTGATGTGGACCCACTGATGGCATTGTCCTGTGCCCCTACACCCATCATAGGCCATGTATTCCATTCTGTGAGCTCTCTTATCATCATTCTCACCATTTTATACATCCTTGGATCCTATACCCTGGTACTCAGAGCTGTGCTTTAGGTTCCTTCTTCAGCTGGGCGGCAAAAGACCTTCTCTACCTGTGGCTCCCACTTAGTTGTGATATCTCTCTTCTATGGAACCATAACAGTGATGTATGTGAGTCCCACATCTGGCAACTCAGTTGCTATGCATAAGATCATCACACTTATATAGTCAGTAGGGACATCAGTCTTAAACCCCCTCATCTACAGCCTACACAACAGGGACACGAAATGTGCCCTCCATCAGGTCTTTTGTAGAGTGAGAATTATCCAAATCTCATGAACAGGTTTTGTGAAACCCAATGACTCTCTTTCTGGAAGTGGAAGAATAATCTTCTTCCAACCCAAACTGACTTGGCTTTATTCATAACCATCACGGACCTTCTGTGCAAAGCAAAATTCATCAGGAATTTTATTATATTTTGATGTACTTTTAGTTTCATAAATGTGTTTCCATGGGAAGAGACTGTCACGCACACATGGTAAAAATAACTCTTAAAAATCTTAATATTTACTTCCAGGAAGCTTTCGACTTTTTCAATGTGCAACCTCTGTTCACACAGCTCTAAAAGATATGAATCCAATGGTTATTTGCTTACATGGCTGTCTAACACTATGTTAAAAAGACATATAACACAGAAAATGCCTGTTGTCCTGAATTTTTGGCAGAAACTCCACACATCAACGTTGGATACACTAAGAGATTATAAAGCCACTTTGACAATTCTTAGCTCATCATCCTCATGCACAGCGTACAAGGGGAGGCTGTAAGTTTGATTGAAGCCATGAGTAAGAATATCTTTGGTGAGTTGTTAGTATGGAGTCCCCATAAGAAAAATGATCACATCAAGAGAACTACTCAGAAAACTTGACCTTGTTCCCTACAGTTTGAGGGACATTTGTACTGTTCTTGATTCATACCTTGAATAAAATGTAAATACTGTAGAAGAGTTGGCTCTGAGAACAGAGCAGAAAGAAATGGGCTATAACAGGAGAATATTGAATTCCCACCAAGAATAGAGCAAATTTAGAATATCCACATTTGGCCTAGTTAGAGCTCCCGGAAGATAACCAACTTGGACCATCTTGAAAGAGATTCCACCCAAAAGTACTACTTGGAGAGGTAAGGCAACCTCAAAAGTGAGTCTATATGGAGTGGGTCAAGAGAATCCAAGGATGAATGCAGTCATAAGTAGCCAGCCAATGAAGCATTGCTCACATCAGGGAACTGAAGTTTAGGGAGCTCCCCTTCCCTGGAAAAAGAAAACACTCCATGAGAGAAAAATCAGCATACAAACTTTTGTCAAATCCGTAAGGCAACAATACCAGTCAAGGAAAAGCCTTTCTGCCTTTACTTCTCTCCCACCTCAAACCGAGAGTAGCCAGAGGCAGTGCAGTAATATGGGAGAGGAAGAGTGAAAGGGCAGATGAAAGAAGTAGATGAAGGCTGAGTCAGAACCAGTCTTGAGAAATAAGTTTTAATTTGGATAAAAAATTAAAATTTTGGTTTTAGACTGCACTAGAATTTCCAACATCAGGATAAGGAGACCATGTATGAATACAAAAATTAATTAGAAAAGCTATCATATTGGCCCAAGATATTACCCACGGGTGGAGACAAACAGAACACCAGGAAGTGTTTGAAGTAGACATGGTGAGAAAAAATAAAGTTCCTTTGTGTTTACACCCCACCAAGTCCAAATCATCCAGTTGATAGTTACAAGTACAAATGTTTAAACATTGCTGTAGCCTAAGAAAGATGAAAACCCTCACCTGAAGACCAAAAGTATCTCTTTGAAAGTCCTCTTGGACAACTGGAGAGCACAATGCTTCAGGGTGGGTAGAGGGACCTAAAAAAGGTGGGAAAACGAATCAGAAAATCTAGTTAGGAAGCTACTAAAGACATGCTTGAACTATTGATCCCAGTTTTGCCTTAATTCAGCACTAATATTTTAGTGATTCACCTGAAAGAGGAAGAGAAAATATTTCTCATAAAAGGCCATAGCTCACAAGTATCCTACTGCTGCAACTTACTAGATGTTGAATATGTAGCTACACCTGTCAAACACCTATTTTTTCATTAAGATCCAACTCAGACATCACTTCCACCAGAGAGCCTTCAGAATATCCCCAGGCTGCACTGCGTGTCCCTCAGTAGTGCATCTAGAATACACCAGGTCATAGTCCATCATTGTACTCACAGACTCTTTGAGGTGAATCTATTATATGTCTGTGTCTCTTCCCCTAGATTATAAGCCCTTGGAGGACAAGGACAGTATCTCATCTTTTTATCCCCAGCATCTAGCATGATAACTGTCTCATAGTAAGCATGTGGGGAAAGGAACAGTTTTTAGAATTGGGTGAATGAGCTAGTTCTTGAATCAGCCCTCATTAGAATTAAATATATTTTAGTTACAAAACCACTAGCTGCCTGTTTACATTTTTTAATCTTTAAGGAACTTATCTCTTTTTAAAGCTACATTTTGATATGCGGTTTTATTAGGAAAAAATATACACTTGTCATAAAATTTTGAAACAACATATAAGAGTGTAAAGTTAAGGGTAAAGATTCCCATCCTCCCTCCTCACAATCCCACTTCCCACAAATAACAAGACTAGTACTGGTCAAAGTTTCTGTACATATTCAAGCATGCAAATGCATGCATATATAATGGCTTTAATTGCTTTAAACTGATTATATTATACAGACTATTTCATAGTTGTTTTATATTCTCTTAAAATTTTGTAGCTTTCTATCCAGGTCAATACAAATAGATATGCTTCATTCTTTTTCAGTTTAATACTGTCCTCTTGTGTAAATGAATCATAATTTATTTAATTTTTCCCCTATTGCTACATACACATTACTTTAAAGTGTTTTGTTCTCACATATGTTCAAGCTATTAAAAAAAAAAAGAAACAGTTCTAGGAAAGGTCTTGTTAAAGACAATAGTAAATGTATCACAATTCTTTTTTTAAAATTATATAATATACCTTACATGCATAAAAGCCTATATAATGAATACACAAGTTTAAAGATTATAAAGTTTAGAAATGCCTGTGACTGACTTTACTCAAATAAAAAATACATAATATTACCAACACTTTAGAAGCCTGCTGTGAGCCTATTCCCAACTATGTCAGTCCCCTTATGCAGCATAGGGCAGGGGGAATTTTGTGTTAACAATTGCCTTGCTTTTTTCAGCTTTATCATTTATTTATCTCTAAATAAAAATGATGTAGTAGGGAATTCCAAAGACCACTTCCTCTACAGAAACACTGAAAAAAAATGGCCAAAATTGTCAGAAACATCTTTAAGAGAACCCTGGAAAATAATCAAAGATTTACAACAACCAAGTGAATGCTTCATCAAGAAAAAGGCAAATAAAACATTGTAGGAGAGTTTTGTGGCATTTTAACTTACCCTTGCCCCATCCCCTTCTCAGCTCAGCAGCAGTCTTAAAGATAGAAGTCTATATTCCTAGTAGGGGTTCCTGGTTCCAGAGAAAGCATAGCGCACTTTGTTCTCAAAAGGTATTTATCAGTTTTGACCTGTCTAGGGGCTCCCTGAAAGACTACCACAGAGGGTTTGTCTTTATTTCACCTAATTTGGAACTCTCTCAGGGCATAGAAACAGCTAGGCAGAGGGCATTCCTCAAAAACAGTAAAAGGCAAATAAACCAGCCACTGCCACCTAGGGCAAAAGATATCAATTGAGATGATCAGTAAACACACTGAAAGTCCTGGGAGGAAAAGCTGGAGAGTGAGTGACTTTGGAGAATAAGAACTCTGAAGAGCTTCTACATATTCCTAGGAATCTCCCCAAACAGAGAATATCAATAAAGAGACAGATATTATACAAGAGAACTAAATAAAAAATCTACAGCTAAAAAGTACAATAACAAAAGTGAAAAATTCACTAGAGGGGTTCAACAATAGATTTGAGCAAGCAGAAGAATCACTGAACTTGAAGATAGGTCAACTGACATTACTCAGTCTGAGAAACAGAAAGAGAAAGAATTAAGTAAAACAAATAGAGTCTAAGAGACCTGTGGGACACCATCAAATATATCAATATACACATAATGGGAGTCCAGAAGAAGAGAGAGAAGAAAGTGACAGAAAGAATATTTGAAGAAATAATGGCCAAAAACTGCCCAATGATGAGAGACATGAATCTACATATCCAAGAAGCTCAATGTATTCCAAGTAGAATAAACCCAAAGAGATCCACACTGAGACACATTATAATCAAACTGTCAAATACAAAGACAGCAAAAGAATCTTGAAAGCAGCAAAAGAGAAATGATTCATTATAAACAACAGATACTAAATAAGATTGACAGCCAATTTCTCATCAGAAACCAGAGAGGCCAGAAGGCACTGGGATGAGTGCTAAAAGAAAAAAACTCAGGGCCGGCCCAGTGGCATAGTGGTAAGTATGTACACTCTGCTTTTGGCATCCTGGGGTTCGCAGGTTTGGATCCCGGCTGCTCACCGATGCACTGCTTGTCAAGCCATGCTGTGGCGGCATCCCATATAAAGTGGAGGAAGATGGGCACAGGGGCCGGCCCTATGGCTTAGCGGTTAAGTGCACTCGCTCCACTACTGGAAGCCTGGGTTCGGATCGCGGCGCACACTGACGCACCTCTTCTCTGGCCATGCTGAGGCGGCGTCCCACATACAGCAACTAGAGACAGGTGCAACTATGATGTACAACTATCTACTGGGGCTTTGGGGAGAAAAAGGGGAAAAAGAGGAGGAGGATTAGCAATAGATTTTAGCTCAGGGCCAGCCTTCCTCAGCAAAAAGAGGAGGATTGGCATGGAAGTTAACTCAGGGCTGATCTTCCTCACAAAAAAAAAAAAAAAAAGATGGGCATGGATGTTAGCCCAGAGCCAGTCTTCCTCAGCAAAATGAGGAGGATTGGTAACATATGTTAGCTCAGGGCTAATCTTCCGGACAAAAAAAAAAAAAAGAAAGAAAAAAACTCAACCAATAATTTTGTCAAACCTGCCCTACAAAAAAATGCTAAAGGGAGTCCTAAAGGTTGAAATGGAAGGACAGTGGAGAGTAACTCAAAGCCATATGAAGATATAAAAAACACTGGTAAAGGTAACTACATAGATAAATATAAAAGCCAGTATTCTTGTATTTTTGGTTTGTAACTCTTCTTTTTGTCTATGTGATTTAAAACATAAACATATAAAACAATAATTTTAAATCTATATTAATGGGAAAATAATTCAGTGAGAGTAATTCTCAGAGGAAAATTAATACCAG